TGGAGGGGGTGGCAGTGGGGTGTGCAGGGTAGGGGTCATTGCAAGGCGGGTACAGGTTCGGGGGGGCACCCTGGGTGCGCCGCAGGGTGCGGGCGTTGCAGTGGGGCCGTGCGTGTGGGGTGGGTGCGTTGCAACAGGGGTTGCAGTGGAGGGCATGGAAAGGGGGTGCTGGGGCACCTACGAGACTGTCAAGCTCTGCAGGGGCGTTTTGAGGGGCTGGCCTGGGGGTGGCAGCGGGTGGTGCAGACGGGAGCTGGACCTCAGCTGCTGCCTTAAAATTGCCTCACACTTAGAACTGTCCAAAATGCCCTAGCAAAGACGTAGCAAGCGCCCTTGGGTGCATGTGCAGAGAGAGCCCAGATTTGGGGGCCGCATTGTCGATCCCCAGAACCTAAGTGAGTGTGAAGAAATCCTGGCCGCTGCTTTTCATTGTTGATACAGACTTTCTGCATCAAAACCAGACCAAAAAAAAAGGGCCTGGCAAAGGGACACTTGCATTTTTAGTAGATTTTATGCCCTTTTTTCATGCCTCGAGTAGCACTTTGGCAACAGGGAAGGTGCAGCTCTCCCCCGGGTCGCATCCCGGCCCCAAGCCCTGTCTCTTGTGCAAGGCAAACCTCGCCCCGTGACTCTTCCTCACGCGGCTTCTCAGCAGCTCCTGGCGCTTTCTGGAAGGGCCGTTGGGGACCCGACTTCCCCCCAGAGCCGAAACAGGACGTTGGGAGCTGCAGAGACCGGCGCTGGGCAGATTAAGGAGCTTCTTGCACAATTTGCTGGCCCCAGGGAGGTTATTGAGGGCCACTCTGCTTGATGGCACCACGCGGTCCCTTAGCCAGCTTGGTGGGTTTGGTTACAGCCCCTGCAATCAAAAATCGGCAGTGGTTTCTATTGCCAAAGCAATTTTTTCAAGAGGTGCTAAGCTTAGGAACTCTTTCTTGGTGCCAAAGTATCAGCACTGGGAACCGAGATGCTGGTTCTGAGATTCCTGCTTGGAGTCGGCCTTGGAGCAGGATGCAGTGACCCAGGCCTGTTTCCTGCTCCCTGTAAGCCTCCTGATGCAGTTTGGGGTGGTTTTACAGCCTGATTACGGGATTCCTGCATGCTAAAAGCCTCCCGACAAGTGCGTCGTGTTAATTCACAGCTCAAACTCGGCGCTCAGCCACGCGGCCTCGAGGAGGAAGAGGGGGGAAGCGCTCTGCCCGCCCAGGACAGGCTGGGGACAGAAGCGCGGATGGGCTTCCCAGCGACACGCGCTTGGCAGGATGTAGCTGCAGTGAATAACTGTTCTGAAAACCGGCAGCCGCGCGGGGTCTGCGACGGCTTCTTTGCCGAGCCCATAGCTCAAATGCAGCTAAAATTGCCCCTCATCCTGCAAATGGGCAAGTCGCAACAGATTTGGCCTGGACGGGAGGTAGAGAGGACAGTAACTCGGCACTGGGCCCTTCTTTCCCATGAGGGGGCCCTTGGAAGGGCTCTTTTCCATGTAAGAAGTATTTTGGGTTTGTTTCCTTAAAAAACACAGCTCCCTGGGAAGCAGTAATGACGAGGCCGCACCTGCAAGTGGAGAGGACGGTGTGTGGGGATGCAGTTGTCTTAGCACATCCCCCAAACCTGCTCTTTTAGACCCAAGATGACAGGGATCCCTTCTTGCGCTTATTCCCTGCGCAAGCGCCGTCAGCTGAGTGCCCATTGATGCCCTTGTGCCTTGTGCGTGTCCCCGCGCAGGCTACAGGAGCTGGAGTTGGCCCCGCTGGGGGATTGCGACGTTCACGTCAAGATGCTGGCAGCCCCCATCAACCCCGCGGACATCAACATGATCCAAGGTAACCCTGCAGCCCGCGGGCGTCCTCGGCGGGCGCGCGCTCCCAACGCGCCCGGCACCAGCGTGGCTCCTCGCACGGGCGACTGCGTCATCCCCGCGGACGCCGGCCTCGGTGAGCCCCCGCCGCGCTCCGGGCACGCGGCTCCCAGCGGCTCCCAACACTCCCGCAGCCCTTTCCCTCCCTCCTAGATTTAGGAGTATGTGTGTCCTAGTGCCGTCCTGGAGCAAAAACCATTCCTCTCCCTAGTGCGGTCTTTGCTCTAACCACATGCACCTCCCAGTTACAGCAATTGCATAGAATTAAATTGAGAAAAAAATTAAAAAAAACTCCATTAGAGACTTTTGCAGGCAAGGGAAGCAGCAGTTGGGACCCATTTAGTGCCACAGTCATCAATAAAATGGCTCGTGTTGTCCTGGGCAAGGAGCATCGGCCTAGCTGGGGAGCTGTACGGGGCCCCTGAATTTCTCACCTGTTTATGTGTGGTTTTAAGCATTAAACTGCACCCGTTCTGGCCTCACTCTTCCTGCCGCTTGTTCCTGAGCGTGTTTTTCCAGGTGAGCTCGGGAGCAGGACACGGGGCAGGAGCGGTGCCGCTGCTCGCACTGAAGTTTAATTCAGAAATAATGTGGTTTTCTGCAGTGCAGAGCTATAAGGGGCCTTCTGGGCCGTTAGGAAACGCTACAGCAACCTGCTGTTCTCCGGGAGCGCCTGTGTTTGTCACATCTGCCTATGGCTCCTCCGCAGGCGCGGGACGAAGCGCCCGCCCTGCGCAAGGTCGTGCTTGCGTGTCATTACTGTGCCCCCTTCACAGAGCCTTGATGGCAAGGCACGGGAATTTACTTTTCAGCAAATGTCTCTTGTGCTACTCCAAAATGCCAATGGGCAGGAAAAATTGCTGGTTCTGGTTTAGCATAAGAGCTCGTTCCCTGCCTATTTCTTTTCAAAGGCTTTTTCCCTTAATGGGAGGAGGAAAGCGATCTAGTTAAGCTCCAAATGGGATATTTTTAAACATAAAAATGGATGATAGGGGGTTAAATCGGATGTGAATGAAGAGTCACTAAATCTAAGAAAATTGGCTTAGAATCTATGGGTTCATCTGCAGGATACGGAGTATTTCCGTTAGTTCTGCACACTCGGAGAGCCCCGCTCTGATTGTGCCTCTAGAGAATGGCCAGACTTTCCTGGGAATTAAATTGCGGCCCTGGGCAGCCAGGGGTTCCCCTCCCCTGTGCCAAGGCGTACGGGGGCCCCGGGCGGCCCGCGCGGCCCGAGGGCACCCGCTCTTGG